TAGAATAGATTCAGTGTTTGTTTAGGCTCCTGTGTTTTATAAACCAAACTCGAATCTTGCTACCTCGGCCTATCGTATAACGTTTTACTGTTTGATACCTGGTAAACTTATCAGAATCCATAAGTGAATTATTAGCAATTAAATTTAGCTGTTAATTATAATTTAACTGGGTCAAAGCTCAAAACGTTAGGCTATAATTTCATTGAAAAGTATTAAAAGTATAAAGGCTTATCTCGTCATCTCGAGAGTATATAATTCTGTTGACCCCTAACTTGAAACCCTTAAAAGGTGGCCAAACGAAACGTAAATTATCCCAACAGTTTATCATGTGTATCCCAGTCACGGCAACTACATTATTCTATTAATATAATGATCGACATTAATTTTGCAAGAAGATTCAATATTTTAATATTTGCTCATGTAAAATTATTTATTTTTTAAATCAACCATCACTTAATTTGAAGACCATAATTAAATACCAATTTATTCATAAGTTGATTTGGTATTAGGAATCACGTTTTTATTTCACTGTAAATATTCTCTAATGACCAAGTGATTTTATTAAAGTAAAGTAAGTACATTTAACGATTGGCAATTGAGTATTATGCATGCCAGTTTGTTTGTTTTGATCTAACCTCAAAATTTGACACGTATGAACACATGATCGCACTAAAAAGGTTCATCTTCAAAAATATTCCACCATATTCCATTTTTAAATTTCAAATTCATTGTTCGTGTTTATTTTTGAGTCTATTTGAATCTTTAAAGGCATTCTGCACATCTACAGGAAAATATCTTTCTAACAGTATGAGTAGATTTTCTCTGCAATGCACACGAGCTAAGAAAAAAGGTTTTAAAGAAATATGCTTGCCTATGTATTAATATATAGTAGATAGATGGTTACAACAATGTAGCTTATAAGCAATGTACTATTAAAAATTTGTTGGTATTAAAAATTAAGAATTATAAATAGGTACGGAACATATACTGTGTAAGTTAAACATATATTACAAGGGTAAAGAGTTGATGTTTTGTAAAACTATGCTGTTTCCGATTTTAAATTTCTCAATGACCGCCATTTTGAATTGCTTGAACGTATACATGTGTTAGTCAACAAAAAGTAAGATCCTGTTACTATTCATACATTGATCGACTTTAAAGTTGATTCCAATAATAGTTTAGAAGTTAAGTGGAATTAAATAAAAATAACAAACAAACCGTCATGCAGAAAAGTAGCCATTTTAGACCCATGTTTTTTAAATATGTTTTTTATTGACATAAAACACAAGTGGACAACATTTTTTCAGGTAGTTTTTATACACCCTGTATAATATACACACATAACAATTAACAGTTATAAACAATCTGGAAACCTCTATCTACTGAAGTTAGCAGTTGTCTCGCACGTGACTTAGAAAATATAAAAAAACGTCACTAATGAAGTTTGCATTCTACGTTAAATGATTGCATTCTGTTACGGTTATGTAAACCAACCGTATTTACTATTAACCGTATTTATTAACTGTATTTTGCTAATGCAAAATAATTAATTAATGTGGCCACTGTTAAATGTTTATTTTAAAATATTTTACGCAATGCGGCCAAGGCCAAAATAAGTATGGTTGTATGGCTACTATGCTTGTACAAACTATTATATTAGTTTTCTGAATCTAACCATTTGAATCCCCAGTTAAATGTATGTAAATATTAAAACATATACATATTTCAAATAGCGTATCCTGGAAGATGCTATTACGGAATATGTACGTTTTCATTTTACGGAAAAGGCGGATACACTTAACAATCACACGTCCTTTCCACAAGAAACAGTGTGTCAAGTGTGCTTCCTGGCTCAAAAATTCAATACATTTCCTTTCTCAGTCAGAGGTGCATAACTGCATTCCTTTGAACACAGTCAGCATCCTGCCTGGTTTGTCCACCCCTAGCGGAAGCCACCCTCACGGTCACGTGGAATCTCTCTCTCTTCCATCCCCTCTCGCGCCAACCCCCAACCGTTGGCAAAACTCCGCAGTATGAGGAATTCGCGGATGGGGACCCTTTACCCGTGGAGTTTTGATGTGGATGGGGAGTTTTGATACCCGTTGGCAAAACTCCTACACTCGAGCGCAGGACTTCGATCGCCGAGGTCTCGGGCTCAAAACCCGCCAATCACTAATGTATGTTATCTAAGTGATTATGCCACGATCCACACCTAGCCTGAAGTAGTTAAACCATTCTGGGGTAGCATCCGTCCTAGTGTATAGTGGGACATAAAGAATAAATAACTACAGCAAAACAAAACATGAAGATTTTTTACGAAACGCACGCTGAAACTTAATGCAATTAGTTGGATCAGAAAAATAATTATATTTTGAAAATTCTAGTCGTCAAACCCTACTCATCGGACTTGAAACATTGTCCACTTTTTGATTTCAGTATATATTTTCCACTAATTACAACACAACAAGATCCATGAACAATCAATCGACTATCTAGGTCTATAGTACTCAAATCAACGCCCAGTGTCGGCTTCTGCATGTAGAGAGTTTCGTCATGCATTTTAAATGGAGCGCAAACGATACCTATTCTCATACTCAGCACTATTCAAAGGGCAAACAAACAAATCCATGGAACTTGGCTAGTCGGCAAAACCAGTTTCTCCTTAACTTAACCGGTTTGCGTCACTGAGACAAGTTTTGTTTTGACAAATCATTTCACAGGTTTTGCACGATTGCAAATTAGTCACGTATTTGTTTGACAGTAAACTAAATTTCTTGTTTTCTCCGATTTGATGCTTTGGCGATTGAAAGAAAGATAGCCATATGTTTGTTGGCAGTAAACTACAAGATAAGCTATATTATTTCAATTTTTGAATAAGTTATGTAAGAGCAGGGGTTGAAAGAGATCCATGAAATAAGTTGTATTTACTACATTTAAATTAATGTCGTTATTATTGGAATTACTGTATTTAGTTAGTTGTGTAGTTCAATGACAGTAAACCAACAATTAGTCTAAGTTTTGATTTCAATGTTTGTGATTGAAATACATTATATTTACTTACACCAGAAGATAAGTTATGGTATATTTTCAATGTGTAAATAATTTAAAGATATCCATTCATTTATTTACCAAGGAAACTGTGAACTATAACTACTGTACTCTCACTTCCAACGATGTGTTTAGTCTTAATGATCAAATAAAATATCGACTATACAGTACAAATAATGTACTTATATTCTTCTACAACAATGCAAAACAGTGCAATGAATGCTTCACAAATCGTTATCACAAAATAATCTTTCCATTGCAAAATGCAATCCAAGAACTTGTAACACATTAAGCCAAATGTTGATGTTATCGTCGGGTTTGGACAAACCATAACCTACTTCCTCATCAATTGAACAGTTTATTTATGTACGCGCACTAAATTATTTTTGGGGTTTAAGCTCTACGTAATATTTTAGACAGAATTTTTGGAGGACTAAAAAATGAGGAAAATCAATGTTTACCCCATAGATCCCTGTTCCCACAGTCCGACCATTCTGGTTCACGAACATGTTCTAATAAACGTAGGTTTTACAAGTTTATAAATGTTATCAAAATCGGCCGCAAGTGATCCTGCTAACGGACATACACACATACGAATTTTAAACAGATGGAACCTCTGAGGACATAAGAACGAAAAATTAAAGTCCCGGGACTAGATTTTAACCATAGACATATTGTAATAGCTTATTCCCCATGGAAAATCCGCTAAAAATATATAAACCGTTTGATCGATGTGGATTTTCCAGCGGATCCACCGAAGTAGTTTCCCCTTCAACAAGCAAACTGATATTTCATCCGCCGATTCTTCAGAGTTTCAGAAGGCTGAGCAGAGTGTGAACTTCGTGGCAAAGCCTGGAGAAAGTTGCACGACTGGTAGATAAACTCTGTAGGCTACGAGGTCCAACTTTCACACGGACTTGCAATGATCCGAAACCTCTGAGAAATCCTAAGGTAAACCCCGAGAAATCTTCAAGACTTCGAAGTACTTTGTATAAAGCCTACGTTAAATACCCTTTCGCAACCGGCTATAAATGATGCTGGAGGCTGGAGGATTGGTTATAAATTATCAAGTGTGGATTAGTTAAAGTTGCTAAGTACTGTATTCAGGATTTACTTTGTAGGGAAATGTGTTTTACTTTGTTTCAAGAGTGTCAACGAAAATGTTTTTCAATTTTCAATTAAATATTGTATTGGTTTAAAAGTATTTCACATATTGAAGGTAATAATTATAACATTTCGGGATACAGTAACGGTGTATTTTGTGCTAAAGAATTAAAACATTTACAAATCAAATTATGTAAAACCCGCATATAACCAGTCTATTCTACAATTTGGTTTATAGGCTAACATCAAACGTCGATGAAATACGGAAATTTCAAACATTGAAACTTTCTATTTAGAGATGTAGCCTAATAAATCATACTAACAATTTATCTTATTATTCGTAAGAAATTAGACGCGCAAATCCGTATAACCGAGAACTAAGTACTACAATGCTCCCGATATTTCTAAAGGACAACGCCCACTTTACGCGTCGAATAAATACCAATGCATTGCAGTTTTATCGATACCGGTACTTTAAAATAAAATTCACGAAGCATTAGATATAAAATGTTATATTATCTTTAAAAATGTACACTACCTAACTCATAAATTTTGATCCGCTAAAAAGTTTCTTTAACCAAATCACTACATAAACCACTTGATAAAATTCAAAATCGCATCGAATAAAACGAACGCCTCTATCAAAAGTGAACCCCCTCCAAACCAAAACGGGTGTAAATCACCCCTTGCAACCCAAACCCACCGCTCTAAACAAAAGCGTTCCCTGTGACCTACCCTAATGTAAAATTTGGCGCGCTCAAAATAATTGTATTGAATTTCATTTTCACATTTATCTATTTACGCATTAAAATTAATTTGATTATAATTGTTAAATATATATGTTTTACCTGTGCTGTAGCGATTGTAGCCAAGACTGTGAGAAGTACGATATAACTAACTACAGACGCCATGGTAGAAGTGGTAGAAGGTAGTTTAGTTGTTGAACCCACGGAGTTTAAACGCTTACTGACCGGACCGGCACAGACACTTAGGTACAGTCTGGTCACGACACAAGCGACGGTTTACACTCTCGTCCGACTCATATAGACCTCCACATGAATCACGGTGAGTCAGATGGTTACTTTATGATCTGTATAAAGTTATCTATGAAATTCGAGCTTAAATAATTTTTATGACTCCTCGAACCATATTTACTTTTTGAGTAATCTCAGTTGGGCTTGAAAACTATTTGCAATCGACATCCTTATGACCTTTATATTTTGGGAAAATATGGATTGTAAAAAATATGATTCAAGTAGTCATAAAAATATTACGCTATAAAATGGAATAGAAAAACAGTGTTATTTAATTGTGTTTTGTTTGTACATATTGAATAAAACTTGTTAATAAAGTCGAGAATATTGGGATTATTTAAAAATATTGATAAAATATCCTTTAATAAATAAACCAAATAATATTATCCAAAAAAGGGCACAAATTGATGTTAATAATGCTTATAGTATGGTCAATGCTGGTTTTAGATCATGGGCTTATACTTTAAATTTTCTATAAGGGGGGCCGGGGCCCGGTCTGAGGATACAGAATGACCACCACCAGTAAAATAGCCGCCAAGGTTACCGGCGTACCAAAATTTAAAATTTCGGTACAGAATGGTTGATAGGGCATATTTTCATACGTAAATGTTCTTATTACTGTTCTTATTGTTACTCTCTATTTGAATCAGAACCCCAAAACAATCTTTGAAATGAAAAGCTTTATCAACCTGAAAGCCTGCATTCAAAAGTTCCAAACTGTCCAAAAGTTCCGACCCACAGTAATGGTGGATGACACCTCTTTAGAGGGGGTTGAATCCATCAAGTTCTTGAGGATGCACCTGGATAAGGTGTTGAACTGGCAAGAACTCATATATTAAGAATAAGAATAAGAATATTTTTTTTCCATTGATCTGTTTGTAAAGAAATAGGACAAGTCAATTTGTTAAACAAATGTTATACAATGTTATACAAATGTAACATAGATAGCGTCTGTTCCAAAATCACAAAAGGTATTTTTACCTCAAGGAATCTCAAACAGACCTGCACAACACAAGTTCTGATCATGGTCTCGTTCACCCCCACCTTTCCTATGGTTTTATGTTATAGGGTGGTTGTGCCAAGTGTGATTTTGAAAGGTTCATATTGATTAAAACCCATGTCCCTCTTAATGACGAAACGGCCGTAACGTAGTTACACCAAATGAATTTGAGCTGCAGTGACGAAGGTAAAGCCTATTTTAGTCATATTGATTATCTTGTATCTTAAAGTTGTAAGGTCCCAAATTGGACCTCTATTCAATTTTAAATTAGAGCGGGAAATGTTACCGGCAGTGTCCACCCGCAGCACTAGTAGCGTCTTAAGGACGTAGTGGTAGGGGTAGGGCGAGAGTTCTCCAGGACCTAGGATCAACCGACACTCGATCGGCCGGCGTGTAGCTGGTCACTTCCCTCTCTTGACTACTCCCTGTTAACCCGCTCTCATTCACAAAAACCCATTGGGTAAAATAAACGTGGACGTCGTCCCTATTCTAAACGATCACCAACTGTAAGTACTCTGGGTATTAAATATAATTAATTAAATTCACTACTATTAATTTTGCTGTAATATTCCTTTTTGTTGGAATTTATGGGCCACGATAGTTTCGAGCTAAAACAGTTAGATAGGTTATACTCTTAACAAGACTATTTACGGGTATTGTTAGTTGTCTTCTTGAGAGTAGATTTATTTCATGGTGTAGACGGATAGTGGTCTACTATAGTTTTATTATTAAAATTCGATTGTTAGGGGACGGGCGAAACAGCTCACGTCCATCGTAACCGATAGTAGCTCAGCCCTATTCCTCTTCATTCATAACCATAAATTATAGTGGTTACAGAACGCATTTTATTGTGTTAAATCGGATTACTAGGTGGCGGGCGAAAAAGCTCAGCTTATATTAAACCACTACTTATTACAAATTACGATGATTATTAGGTGACGGGTGGAACAGCCTTGTCGTGATCAGTCCCGTCGTGTGGTCTATTAATTAATACACATCTATCTAGATTAATACACTTAAAATAATTGTTTTAAACCTGATATATTCCCACGTCACACCCGGGTGAAACAACTCAGGGAACCTAGGACGTAGTTGTTAGTCGTGACAATAATTTTCGTTAGTTATTTTTAGTTTTGATTTTATTAGTTTTTATTAAAAGGTGAAGTAACCTTTGTAGAAGTAATTTTATTTTGGTGAGCGTAGGTAACGCACGAGCGATAGTGTTTGTTCACGGCTAACCTAAGGTTCTTCCTTTTTGTGACGTTTGATTAACTTTTTTTTACTTAACTTCAATGATAATAAAACACGATCGGGGATTAATTGGCTTTAATTTGGGCAATGATGATGACCAATGATTTACTGAATCAATGATAACATCCTTTGGTCTGAGCCCAGCCAATTAATAATATAAATTGAACCCTGGACACACCTGACTGTTAGCAGATCCGAGGCATATAAGGTGTAGTTTTACCCCCCTCGGAATTAACACCTTACAAATTGGCGCCCGAACAGGGACTTAATTAATTAATTAATTATACCGTATTGTTGTAGAATCTTAAACTTTCAAAATGAGGATTTGGCGTTTGTTTTTGAAAGTTTTGTTCCAGCTATTCTGGCCTACATTTTACATAAATACCCCTGATAAGAGCAAGGGTGATAAGGGTGATAAGACCCTGAAAGTCGTTTCAAGTACAGCAAGTAGTACTTTGACTAGTACCAGTACTAGTAGTACTGGGACAATACCAAAAGTTGTCAAACCAGTCGATACAGTTACTGTGAGTAAATCACAATTAGAGTTACCATTAACTACACAGGCTGTAGGTGTAATATCCAAAACCCCGTCCGAAGATGACCCCAGAACTAGCTGGATAAGGTCATTAAGCAAAGATGAACTTAGACTTGAAATGAATAAGTACGACTTAGATACCTCGGGAACAGTAGACGAACTTAGACGGCGTTTTTCAAAGTTTTGGAAGGATGGAATTCCCCGCGAGAAAAATAAACAAACACCTACTGGTCAGGCCGGTGAGTCGACCGAGGCCGGAAGTCTATTGTACCGCGATCACACATTACATAGCGCGGATCATATTTTTCAAAGCGATATTGCTCAAAGCGTTTCACAACCAACGTTTACTCAGTTGAGAGGGAATGAATGGCATAAAATTTCTGAAGTGTTAGGAATGCCACCTGAGACCTCAATAGATGAAGTTTGTAGGTCGGTATCCCAATTGTTAATTAAATCACAATCGACGTCGAACGTTAAGGAAAATGATGAGAGTAATTATCTAGGCTGGCCTCACCAACATGGGCACGACCTTGTACATAGTCATTCAGCTAGACCTATTTCGTCCGTTATTCCGCCTCAAAACAATAATTTTCCGGGTGTAAACCGAGATGATCCATCTTCGTTGTGTAACCTTGTTCGAAAATGGAATGTCAAATTTGATGGGAGTAAAGATCCTATATCATTCCTAGAGAGGTTAGAGGAATTGAAGGAATCCTACGGTATTGATAACAGACACATTCTCATAGTGTTACCCGAATTGTTACATGGCACCGCGCTATTGTGGTATAGGAATAATAAAAGTAATTGGTTTTCTTATGATGATTTCCGTCATAGTTTTGATTTACATTTTTTACCACCGGGCTATTTGAGGAATCTTGATGAGGAGATACGGTGCCGAACCCAAGGCGAAAAAGAGCCGTTTCGTAGCTTTGTCGTCGCATTGAGCACTTTAATGAGGCGACGTGGTGGGTTATCTCTGGCGAAACAGCTAGACATTATTTATACTAACATGAAACCTGATTATAAGCTTACAATGAAACGTGATGAAATCGTTTCCTATGAGGGTATGCTTAAGCAGGCTGAGCATGTGGAAAGTTATTTTCGGGAAAAGGCGTTATATAGGCCGCCCCCTCCCCCCTCAATAGCACTCGTCCCGGAAACCGCGTACCAACCGAGGCGAAAAGAGGATAGACAAATGGGACACTGTGGTGTTAATGTTTTTTATAGCGGAGAAATATCTGCTGTAAATAAATCGGCTGTAAGTGACAAAGCGGCAGTTAGATGGCAAAATAATATGCCGCGGGACTTGTCTCAGGTAAAAAGGGAAAGTAGTCCGCAGTGTAATGCTCGACCGGCTTATCAACTCTCCGATAAGGGGGTTCCCCGCGATGTTAGTAAACAAACACAGCCGAATAATAATACACTGATGTCCCAAACAAATAAACAAAGACGTACACCTACTTGTTGGAATTGTAATGAAATTGGTCATGCATATTACGATTGTAAATTACCAAAAGTGTTAAAATGCTTCCACTGTAAGAAGGTAGGTATTCGAACCCGTGATTGTGGATGTCGTCAGGGAAACGAGCCACGGGCTTAGGTGATAGGAGGTCGCCCGAGTCCAAATCTAATCCTAAATCCTCCGACTGGCAAATTTGGCTGGAAAAAGTCAAAATGTTTCCGGAAGGGTTTGGAGTCGGTACTACTAGTTTAGATAAACGGCCTTATATTCAAGTTAATATTTATAACATGGACTTCTGGACTCTTGTGGACACTGGTGCCGCGATAACTTTAATTAACTCTAAAGTTGCAAAACATTTGGAGGCACAGGGCATAAAAGCTAAAAACGCGTCTATTTTAGTACAGTTAGCGGACGGGGCTAAAGTGCAACAAAATTGTGTTTATGAGTTTGAGGGTATTATTGAGGGTACGCGTCAGGAGATTAAGGCGGTTTGTTTGCCCTCATTGACGTGTGATGTCATATTAGGAATTGATATGATTAGTCAGCTAAATTTGATTTCGTACAACATCAAAGTAACTTGTTTAAAGGGATCGGACAAGTGTGATAGTACCCAAGAAGAGAAGGGGTTAGGAGCTCTAACCTCGTTGACCGAAGGTCAGAAATCCCAACTAGACGAGTTCTTAGGTAAGCAATTGCCCCTTTTTAATCAGGTATC